GTTTACTTTTTTTCGTTTAATTAATATTGTATCGTGTGTGTGTGTGTGTGTGTGTATGGTGTGTGTGTATATATATATATATGGTGTGTGTGTGGTGTGTGGTACACATACACACACGCGCGCGCGCGCGCAACATAACTTAAAAGTTATGGATTTGCAAAATTAAACATACAATATTAATGTTGATATACAACGTAAAATGGTTTTTATTAATATTACATATATCTTTTTGACGTATGCACTGATAACATTCGATAACGTTGTCATGTTTGTCGTTTTTCAACAAATTTTTTATTATCTTTATTAAAGTGTAGATACGAGACATTCAAAATAATTATATGTTAATCGATGCTATTGCTGATCATTGAGATGTGATATTGATTGTGCAATAATATATCAAATTGACAAAATAAAACTGAAAAATATATTTAAAAAAAAGGTAATTATGTTAACGACATAACAAACGTTACTATCTAGCAGACGATTCGTAAGTTTTCTATTGTATATCATTAAGTAATCTTTACAGATGCACGTCGCTTAAGCTGTCAGATCTATGCGCGATTCGCGATTCATAGCTGACTACACTCGCAATACTTTAAGATTATTGATCGTAATTGCTTGTTTTTCTTTTGCATCACATTTAAAATAATGTGACAGATAGTTATATTAACGATAGTTATATAAACGCTTGTCATATATTATCGAAATGAATTATATTGATAAGCGGATCAATATAGTGAACCAATCCTTCATGTTTAACATTATTCTGAATTAACGAGAGCGGCGTACATCGGTACAAATCTATAGAGCGATTTACAAGATTGTATCTCCTTCATCAATGCCCAGCATGCGAAGATCGTCAGGTCCGGGTTGCGTGTCTGCTTCCGCCTCTTGCATAATTTCAGGTGGTGGTTGATCCATGTATTCAGGACCGTAACCTACACAACCTAACATACTGTACATCGAAGAATACATGATGTTAGATTCCTGTTGATTCTGTTGTTGTTGCTGTTGTTTGGTCTCTGATATCTCCTCTTTCGGGAAAATTATGTTAAGAGCCTCTTGTAGATCATCCGGCAATGGAATACTCGGGTCTGCCGGACGTTTCTCCGACGGTTCCGGAATATCGGCCACGTCAGAATGCGGTGGCACTACGACGCTCGAATCTACTACTGTTGACGGTATTGGCGGTGGCGGTGGATTTTGATGATTCTGTACAAAGCCTGTGTTCGGTATCGGTGGTGGCTGCGTCATGAAAGCAGTAGGTGGCACAGCTTGACGAGGTGGGAATCTCGGCGGTGCCTGGACAAACGGCGGTGGATTTGACATAAATGGCGGTGGTGGACGATTCGGCGTAAATTGCGGTGTCGGTGGTGTACTTTGCACCGGTGGCGGTCTATTCTGTATCGTTGATTGCTGCTGTTGACTTGGAGTGAAACTAGGTGGTGGTCTATTCAATGGTGGCGGTGGATGTGGAGGTAATGGTAATTTTGATACATTCGAAGTTTGTTGCTGCTGCTGTTGCTGTTTCTGTTGGTCCACTATCGGTTGTTCCTCTATCACTGTTTCTTCAGATTGATCGTCTAGCTCCATATCAACCACCTGTTGTGTCGGTTTGCTTTCATTTAGAACGGGCGGTGGAGGTGCCACCAAAATCTTCATAGGCTGACTAGTAGTCTTACTCGCCAGTGGAGTCGTAGTGCTGCTGTTATTATTTAAGTTTACCGGGGTAGCTAATTTAGTAATATGCACAACACCTGGTGGATTGATGATCTCATTGGGCACTTTTGGCGTGTCCTCGAATTTACTTTGTTGATAAGGCAAAGGAGCGATGTCTTTCTCTGGTAATTTTGGTTCTTCAGCCTTCTTCTTGAATAAGGGTAATCTGCCGATGAATGGTAACTTGCCTTTAGCTGCTACTTGTGGCGCGGATTTTTTACTTTGGACGGCACCTTTCTTCGACTTTGATTCACTCGATTTCTTATCGAATTTAGATTCGTCATTTGATGAATTGTCATCTCCTCGCCTGTCTTTGCCATACTTGTCGTAGCCTCTCTTGGGACTGTCGCGCCAACTTCTATCACGCCTCGGAGAATCATTGCTATCCCTATCCCTATCTCTGTCTCTGTCCCTTTTTCGACGATCATCATAATAATCACGATCCCGATCACGATCCCTATCCCTATCTCTATCTCTATCTCGTCGACTTCTTCTTTCATATCTGCTATACTTGCGATCGCGATCGTCTTTATAACGATCTCTGTCACGATCCCTTTCTTCCTCTTTTTCCATTGATTTACTTTCAGGCGGCTTTACTGTCATATTCACTTGCTGTTTAGTCCAGAATCCCATGTGTGGCTTCGGCATTTCTTCCGGTTTTGGCAACTCAATCGGTTTATTCGCCGCGATTGGCTGCGATTGTTTTTCCTCTTCCTTCTTTATCCAGAACGGTTTGGGTGGTTCTTTCGGACCCCAAGCTTCCAAGTCATCTGATTTCTTTGAATAGTCTTGATGTAAATATTCTTCTTCTTCTTCTTCTTCTTCCATCTTGTCCTGATTCATCTTGCGACTTTTCATCTCCTCTTCCTGTTTAGCTTTCAGTTTGTCCCTGATAGAATTTAAAAGCTGTTTGTCGTCTGACTCCGATGGATGTTGCTCGGGTAGCGGTGATTGATTAATCTGCGGTGGCGCCTTCGACCAGTTATGTCCCTTTAGTTTTATACGCTGATAATCTATCTCTTCATTTAGAATCGCCTGTGTTGATGCTTTCATCTTGTTTCGCATTGCCACACGTATGCTCTTGGTAGTATCCTGATCAGACTCTGTATCAGAATTTTCCGACTCGCTTGATGAATCACTAGCGCTACTTCTATTTCTGCGTTTCTTAGCTTTTTTCGATTTTTTCTTATTCTTCTTTGATTTTTTCGATTTTATTGGTGGATCATCATCCTTCTGCTTTTGCAATTCTAGTTGTATTTGTTTGTGCTTTTCTTCGGAAAATGCCTTTTCTCTATCGGCCATCCAATCAGTTTCCCAATGCGGATTTTGCTCCACGAAACGCTAAACAATTATTTGATTTAATTATTTGAAATATATGGAGTTTGTGCAAATCTTTTTATTAGATTTTATTTTAAAATTACTGTCTTAAAAAATAATTATTTTTATTAATAAAATAATTAATAAAAATTATTTCCAAAATAATTTATACATAATTATAATATTATTTTCAATTTTATTCTGCAAAACAGATCTTTTCTGCTCCAATTTAATTATTACTAAAACACATCATTTATAAATTATAAATTTAAATCACTTACGGAAAAATTTTCGGAATGACATTTCGATTTCAAATGCACACTGGCACAGTGAAGATCCCCTATCCAAGCATCACATAGTTTGCAATACCAAGCTGTTGCTGCACTGAAGAACTGTAGACCTATAATCAAACATTCATGCAGTTAGCATTATCTAAGCTTCGAAGCAGGTAAACATTATAAGTTCATAAAGAATGACCTTATATTCTGCCGCGACACATTCATGTCACTGAAAACAAAAATATTATATTAAAAGATGTTTGATATAAATGGCAGAGAAAAAGACATTAGATTAAATTTCCTTGTGTATTCCCACAATGTTTCTGTAGAAAAAATAAAGAGAGGGAAAGAAAGAATCAATTTTATTTCTCACAGAGATATTGTCTATATACATGATACAAGTAATAATGCATAAATATAACTAAATAAAAATACATTCTATTTTTATACGAATATATTGCAACTGCTTACTTTTAATCTCCGAAAAATTCAAGACTTTACTATTGGATATATACATACAATTTGTTTCGAATGTAATGATCATTAAGTTTACAACAGACAAACAGGCACTTGCAGTATATTTTACAAACAGTTTATACAATTTTGTTTATACAATTTGTTATTTAAATAAATTAGTAATAGTGGAAAAAGATAATACACATTTTCAATATAAATAGTAGTAGTGGTAACTTTTTCTTCGCATAACTTCACCAAAACTTACACATATGTGTACATATATCTCCGTTATAAGCAACAACACAAAATGTTTTGTATACAGTGTTTCATATATTATTTTCTGCCAATGTGCACTCCACGATGATAAGATCTTAATAGATCCAGAAGATAACTAATCACCCTAAATGTGTAAAACGTAGTATTGCGGAAAATAAAATTATAGACATGTGATCACGATAAAGTGACATTGCTAGAAAGTCGGCTCAGAAAGTGCGCTTCTTGAATCCAGATAAAATCCAATGCATCGCTGTGGTGTTTGTGACATTGCTAGAAAATTTGCAGTCATCAAGATCACCTTATGTGATGTTTGCCACATTCTTTTCAACGTATACATACGAATTAAAATTATCGATTTTTAAAATGTTTTGATGGCATTATGTTTGATAATATCACGAATATTCTTACGAACTTACTTTAGGACAGACAAATTTTCAAGCAATTTATGACTGCTGATTTCTTCAATACATACCGAACACCACAGTTATCTGTGCACAAGCTACGGAATTATAATCTATTAGTAATTGCCCACTGTAATTGACCTTACCTTTAATAGGTGTTCTTTTCGTTGGCAGTCCAGAATAATAGGGTACTTCTTTTTCTGTCCCTTCGCTATTTCGCTCATGCCATGGCATGTCAACAATCTTGCGTTCCTATCATATAAAATAACACATTAGTAAAAAGAAACTTGATATCAGGCACGATAAACTCGGTACTCTTTTGTTTTTCTTTAATAAATATTGATATATGGTACATCAAAAATTACATCATGTACCAAGTACCTGCTTGTTGTGATTGTTACTGTGTAATATATCATCCAGTTATAAATATAGTTTGAATTACAAATATATATATAGCCTTAATTATCCATTGTTTTTTTTTTTTTTTCATTATAGAAATATGCGTATATTTTTTCTTCTACCTGTTTTTGCTCTATAGTAACTAATAAATATTATTTGTGTACAAGAATCTCTACATCTATTTTTCTCTAATATTTAATTAGTTTATCCATCTGTTTTATGACGCGTCTGTATTGCTTGAAAATATTACTTACTAAACAAGCCTCTTTGTGTTCATTGCTATGTAGATGATTTAAATATTCCTTTGCTGTTTTAGGAAAGATATCGCAGACTTTACACCAATGCATTTCAGGATCGTAGTGAACGAAATTATACATTGGCTTATCCTCCGATGATCTTCTTTCCCTAACATCTCTATCTGCTTTGGATTCCTTATCTGAATCGGAAGCCGACGATCTATCTGGCGAAGGAGACTTCCCTTTCGGAAAATCTTCCTTTGGACTTCTCGAACGTTTACTCAATTCTAATTTAAACTTGCTCTTTAGATCATCCACTGTTACTTTGTCACCCATGATACCAGTGAGCATATCGATGACATTATGAATAGATTTCATTTTATTCTGTATTTCAATCTGCAAACGTATTTATATAGAATTAGACAAATATAAATTGTAAAAAATGTACCGATAAGGTCACACATATTAATTACCTGTAATTTTTGGTTTTCTTTTAAAATTCGATTATTTTCACGGCCACCTTCCTTGCCTATCTCGTCACACTGCTGACGCAGAATTTCCAATTCGCGTTGCAACGTGGCAGATTTCTTAACATATTCCTCTCGTTGTTTGGCCAATGTTGCTTTCTGCTGTTTTACCTCAGCTGCAATTGCTGCAGATAATTTGAAAAGAGTTTAAAGATTGGGTAAAGAAATATTAACTTTTATCATTAAACATGCAGAAATTATTGCATTAATGAAATAAATATAACGTCATATTGTAAAATAAAAAGAAAATTGCACCTTCTTTCTTGACATCCTCAGGTCTTGCTAAGGATGTCACTAAACCAGAAGAACCGCTGTCAATCGGCCTCGATGATTCTTGTTGTGGTGTCAATGAAGGAGGTGGCGGCGCTTGCTGATTGTTATACGGCACTTGACTTCCTTGCCAGTTGGGTGGTGGATAATCCTAACAGAATTAATATGTTCAATCAATTTCAAATCGTTCAATGGCATTCTTATCGACCCTTACCTTCATCGGATGGTACTCAAATGAGGACTTTGGCTAATACATGGAAGTCTTGAAGATGTAACGGTCTGGTCAATATTACGGGTTTCCAATATCAGTTCCAGTAAAATATATAACGCGAATGTTATACTTACTGAGAGATTCACAATAACGTGATAGAGAGAAATACAATTGTAAACGCTCAAAGAGAGCGAAAACAAATATGCTACCGAATATAAATCATAATCGGTAACATAGTGATACAATTATCTCTAAAATGCTTTGCAAAAGTATGCGATAGATTTTAAGAAATCACCTGTCCCGCTTTAGTATTTACATATACATCGCTTTCCATTCACATTTTTGTGTGACATTAGAGATGATTATTCTAAGCAAGACTAAAAATATACTAATCTTTTTTTAAATACAACTTACACTTCGATAGCCGGCAGGTTGTTGATAACTGTAGTCGTATCCTGGACCATAGTTGTAACCATAATTGTTATATCCTTGATTGTAGGCAGAAATAGGTGGTGGTGGCTGGCTTGTGTTTGGTGGAGGTGCCTGTAAAATATAAAACAATATACAAAATTTATAAGCTAAATTGATAATCAATAAGATTTCATGTCTTTTCTTGTTCATAAATGTTTACTACCAAATCTTTATTATTTATACCTGATATTGATTGTGTACTGCTGATACATAACTAGTAGAATTATTTGGATTAGGCACAGAACTTTGTGGCTGAGATGGAGGTGCTTGCTGTTTCCAATCTTGCAGTCTAGGATCTTTTCGCCTTCTATCTCTGGAACTTGAACGAGATCTTCTATCTCTGGAACGTGATCTGCGATATCTGCTACGTCTTGGAGATGGTGACCTATCATATTTTCTTCTTCTTCTAGCATGTGAGGAATCATCCGAATCAGCGCTGGGGCTCCTAGGACCCTTGCGCCTGGATTCTGATTCCATGATTCGTCTCAAATCACCTGTGACATTAAGATAGTCTTATATCCATCGCATATAAATACAAATTAAAGAGTTTGGCGAAACGGAACAGATTTTATAATTCATAAAATCAATTATCTTGAAACAAATCAAAGGTTCACACATTTAAACTTTCCTGCCATCGTTTATTAGCTTCGGTGATCCACATGAGAGCAATGAAATGAATTTTATTAATTTTCCAATTATTTCCTTGCTCTAATATTTATCGGAGTGAAAGTAAAAAGAAACAAAGCAAGTCCGTTATCAGCAAGATGTTTTTAAATATGATCTCGTACTCTAAGCAGACCTTATACAAATCGTGATTCTGTTTCTCAACGTTTCTCAACAAATGTAAATCGAATAGACTTATCTCGCGAGAGACATGAAACATGCGATAATTTCGGGCGTCGCACTGCAGCCATTGCTGTTCTCTCATTCTCCTTTCTCTCTCCCTCTCTCATCAAAACGACATCAGGTCGAAATACATCGACACGCAGCTCACCTTAGCTCGGAGAAGTCTCTCGATCGTACGGCAAACGGTGTTAAAATAAACACAGTCAACAGTCGTCAGAAACGCCAGCGGTACACAACATGCCGCAACCTCGCAGCCAAAGATCACGAAGATCGAAGCGGATCGAAGAAACCGACACGAAACGAAACGTGACGATGGCCGTCGCGTTCACATGGACCAACCGAGCTCTCCGTATCATCCGGATTGGACAACTCGGGTGAACTCGGGTACTCGAGGATCGCTGGCGGCCGCGGCTGCAAATGGAAATTGCACCAAAGTCTGCTATTCCGTAACTGCACTATGTCGCACTCGAAATGAAATGTATGTACTCAAGAGTCGAAATGAGAAAGAAGAAAGATAAAAAGTGCAGAACTTTAATAAAAAGAAAAAAACTTCGTGAAACGGAATACATTTCGACCAATCAGACACTTGCTGCGTTCGCACAGAGTCTGGCCTGAGGATTTTCATTAGTCGAGACATCTCGTCTTTTTCCGCGCCATTTTCAGTTCAACAAGGATAAATTATCACTCTAGTTGTTAGAAGTAAGCGATGTTGTGAAAAGAAAGGAAACCACTTCAACCTTCAAAAAGGTATTGTTCTGCGATATGCTGTTCTCTGAGTATTGAAAGTGTAATACTTTGACTTTTCAGGGTTGAAAATTCGAATCAAGAAGAAAAAGAAGAAGCAAGCGATGAAACGACGTTAACGGATCCTTACTTTTTTTTTTGTTAGCGTTGTTACACTTCAAATATGGTTGTCTATTGAATTAATGTTTAGTGAAGTTTTTTTTATATATTATACAATTCGAAGAATGGATCTTTGCGAATGGCGAGTTGCTGGATGAACGCAGAATATGCAATCAACGAAATAAAGACGCTTTGCGGTTGTTGACTTTTTTAACGCCATTTGCATAGAGAATTCACTCCCGATGTTCATTTCTACCAAGATAAATAGATCAATTTTAATCTCGATTTAATTTATTTTTTATGTTTTTTAATTTTATGAATTACACCCAATTTTTTCATTATATTTAGTTAATTTTAATCTCAGTACAATTTACTTTTTCTCCATAATCCATAAAATTAAAGAAAGATACAAATTAAGTTAAATCGAAATTAGAATTAATCTACATCGGTAGAAAAGAGCATTAGAAAAAGATAGAGTAAATTAAATCAAGATTAAAATTAATAGATATCGATAGAAATGGATACGAGGGAAATTGACGCTTCACGGACTGCCACGGGCGCTTTCAAAGATTTAAAGATATCTGAGAATTCTGCGGACTCCAGTCTTGACGATGAGAAGGAGGAAGGAAAACAGAGGATACGCGACGACAGATCGAGCGGAATAGCAAGATGTTTGAAGGTGCTCTTCTGTTGCGTGAAACGCGAGTCATCCGTGGAGGAAATTGAGTACGATCCTGACGAGTATGATTACATCGTCGAGAAGCTCGTTGTGAGACGTGTACCACTTGCACTCTTCGCAATACCGGCCGATCTCATGGATCGGCGCAGATTCGGTGTAACAAATCATTCTTCACGATCGACGTTCTCGTCCTCATTCAGTAGAGACGCACAAAACACCGCGCGAGAAATGCCGCATCTTGTCAGGATTGCGTGCGATTCTGCGACGAACAAAGCCTTGCTTTGTAAAGATAAATGTCAAGACCCGATTGATGGAAGGCAAGTTCGTCAGATAAATTTACATGAATTATTATACAACAATTATAGGACAATAATGAAAATGAATATATTTTTAGTATTAATATGCTCATATCTAAATCGCGGCTCATTCTTTTTTTTATTATATTTTTATTAATACTGTGAGTCTTCTTTTATTTTCAATGTGTTTATGTTTATTACTACACATACTTTATTTGTTTGTGATAATTTTGTTTTATTTTTAAGATTATTAATACCATTTCTGTTCTGGTTCTATGAATGAATAATCAAATATAATTTTTAAAATATATTTTGTTTTTCTACAAAAAAAAATCATCTAACTTGGTCATGATTTTTAATAAATGAATGAATAAAAGTTTATTTAGATTACTGAAATATGTAAATATGAATTTTAATTTTTATTAATTAATCTAATACAAAATAAATATTGAATCATTAACTTATTTAAAATACTTGAAAGTTAATATTATTTTCAGCTATCAAGAGAAATATTCGATTCGACGTGAGGGGATTCTGAGTAGATTCAGTGCTCTGTATCCGGATTTGAAGTCTAAGAGTCCTCTCAAAGATCCTCTGAATTTTTCACAGGGCGGACGGCTATTCACGGAGGATTTCTCTGAAATATCATCCAGCACGAGAACTGATGTTTCCTCCAGAACAACGTCTTCCATGGCCGTCTCAAACGATGCTCCAATTCGAGATGATTTTATTTGTCGCAAATCAACTGATTCTCTTTTCAAATTTGCGAAAAAAACGAATGATAAATCGCGAGCAAAAAAGAATGATGCAGTGCAAGATGTATCCAGAAAAGAGCAGGATAAATTCATTCCTAAACGAATCCAAAAATACGTAGTATTACCGTTTCAAGTGCGAAGAGGTTCTTTCGACCCTGCGAAATCGAAGGCTATCATCGGAGATCTTGGAGTAGACGGCAAATCGTTATCGTATGTCGACGAATTTGTGAAGAATAAACCCTCGGAGTCAACAGAGTCAACAGAGAATGTGAAAAATCGCGACTTGGGGTCAAATACAGCAGTTAGATGGCGAATTACCATTAAACGCCAACGCGCGAACGCGATTCCTGAACACGTCGTTTCCGAGGTGTGACATGAATCTTTCGGAAAAAAATCCACGAACACTTGCGCTGAAAGTTATAATCTTTTCTTTCTGAAGAAAGAAGTTTAATTTATTGAGATTTATCGTTATAGAACATCAAACTAATTTCGATTTTTAGAAATCTAAATCATTAGATTTGCAGATTATTAAAGTTTTAATTTTGTTATAATGGGACATTTGTATCAAGCTTTCAGTAATATTGTGATAATGATTAAAATGCAAATGATGATCTAAAGAAACGCAGAGATATTTTATTTTTAGGAATGCTTTTTTTTCAAGCCACGTTTTCTAGAAGGAAAAATGCAATGAGAACCTAATCTCCACATGTAATGACAGTTGTGTCTACACACTTTCGCATCTACGGACGTTGCCGCGGTGACGAATGTGGCATCACAATGGCAGCGATCGAGATATTTTCAAGCTCTGTCACTTACAAGTACAAAAGTAGAATACATTCTTGCGCCTCGATTGTTGTATTCCTGTTCATTGTATTATCCTTAATCACGCCACTTTTTATAATCTATAATGCGGGAGGTAAGAATCAAAATAATCTTTGTCGATTTTAAAAACACATCCTCTTTTTATTTGGTAATTTGGTGTGTGTGTGTGTTATTATATCTAATAATTTAGATAATTTATATTTAATATTTTTTAATTCCAGGCATCTGGATGAAAAATCGGATGCATGCAGAAATGCCAGATGTGCACTTTATATACAAGTATCTGTTACTCGCAGAAATCGATTCTTTCAAGGAACCCATCGTGTGTTCCACTTTCACAACATACAAAGAAAACGATATCAAAGATCAATGTCCAATAATCAAGGTAATTTTATTATTACTTTTATTATATATTAATGTTACTAGAAATTTGTTAGAAATGAAATTTGATTTTTCACATATCAATCAATATTTTATTTCATTTCTAGTCACGTCCTGTATTTAATAAACGCTGCTCTCTGATTTCATTTTTGCTTCTAATACAAAAATTATATATACATTATAAAATGTTAATTTGTTAAGACATTGTTAGATTATTTATTAGACATTGCTATTTATATTTATTATTTAAATTTTATTTTTGCATTTTTTTATTTAGGTACGGGAGAATGATATAAACGCTGATGGGCAAAAGGATTCCTTGAGATTCGAAGCGCACTTTTACACGGACAAACCGGTGAAATCCCTGCGGCTTCTATTGTTTTTCAATTTTCAATTGAAGGTAGACGAATATATTCTGTTCATAAGTTAGTTAAGTTATTTCCGATTTGATAGATTTTTTTAAATATTTTTATAGCATCTCATTCAAGCGACAATAGAATCGATCGGAGTATTCGATCAGATATTAAATCAAGATGTTCAAGAAATACGATTCTTCGGTGATCTCGAACTACGGCAAAAGGGAATTTTACGCAGCGAAGGTCTTTACGAAATTTACAATCATAGCATAGAGCTGTCCGATTATTCTCTACCTGATCTGCTTTTGTACAGTTTCAATCGGAAATGTGTGTATTGTTTTTCGAGAAACGATATATCATTGATATAAAGGAATTATTGATGGTATGTTTGCTTTGCAGTTTCCGCCAGAATTACGAATGAGCGGGTAACATGGAAAACAGGCTTTTCTAGCGACGAGCCAGTGGTCGTCATTGGCGAATTATTTTATGCCGAGAATTTTATTTATTATCAACCGAGTGTGTGGGAAGAATTGAAATGGGCATGGGTTCAATATCTATCATGTCTCCTGGTGTTCGCGTATGTGGCTAAGCACATTCTGGTGTTTCTGTTCACCAACAGATATCTGAACACGTATATTGTAAGACCGTGGACGAAAATATAAACGGAGAATAATAAATAAGAGAATAAATTTAATTGGTAAATAAGTTTATATCGTGCGCATGATTGACCATAAATTTTCCTTTTCTCGCGCTGTATAATTTACTATTTCTATCTAATGTTTAACTTTAAAAATGTATTCTTCGACAAATTTGCAGATGTTCCTAAAAATTTGGAGTACAATTTAAAAACAATTGGGTTTCAAAACTTTAACGTAAACATCATCAGAAAACTCCTAAAATTCCGATAAATTTTATCAGAAGCGGCCTTTATCGCTTATGGAAAATAACAGCGTTTGCTATTTGCCGCGTAGCTCGTGTTATCAGTCACGCTATCGGTCATGCAAATTGGATCGATAAAAGGAAGCAGGCTGTGCCGTTCACGACGGTAGCGCCGGTGTCGTCGTTGACATCGGCGTCGATCCCTTCGCCCATCTCGTGGCTGACGTCGATTGGTGGTTCATGAGGGTGGAGACTGCGCCATGTTCGGTGGTCGAGTCTTCATCGTTCTCGTATATACTCGCGTAGTACACAATAGCAGCATGCTGACAGTTTGTCAGCTGTAAACGATACGAAGCTGACATTAGAATGGGTGAGTCTGATGTTAGATTACGAAGCAATCAATGAAACGATAATATTTGACTTGTTTTGAATAGCCAAATATTCCGGAGACCTGACATTAAACACTCTCGCATTTTAAAACAAATATTTCTAATGTCGACAGCTTTGCTTGCAAAAATAGATAATAGTTGAGATAATTTATGAAAGATTATTAATTAATGAGAGTTAATGAAATTTTCTGATTAATCGAGAAATCAGTGTCAGAGCAATATAAAATTTTGTAAATATTT